CAGCACACCCACCCACCAACACACCCACCCACCAGCACACCCACCCGTCAACACACCGACCCACCAGCACACCCACCAACCAGCACACCCACCCACCAACACACCCACCCACCAGCACACCCAGCCACCAGCACAAACAGCCACCAGCACACCCAGCCACCAGCACACCCAGCCACCAGTACACCCAACCACCAGCACACCCAACAACCAGCACACCCACCCACCAGCACACCCACCCACTAGCACACCCACCCACCAGCACACCCACCCACCAGCACACCCACCCACCAGCACACCCACCCAACTGCACACCCACCCACCAGCACACCCACCCACCAGCACACCCACCCACCAGCACACCAACCTACCAGCACACCCACCCACCAGCACACCCACCCACCAGCACACCCACCCACCAGCACACCCACACACCAACACACCCACCCACGAGCACACCCACCCACCATCACACCCACCCACCAGCACACCCACCCATGAGCACACCCACCTACCAGCACACCAACCTACCAGAACACCCACCAGCACACCCACCCACCAGCACACCCAGCCACCAGCACACCCAGTCACCAGCACACCCAGCCACCAGCACACCCAGCCACCAGCACACCCAGCCACCAGCACACCCAGCCGCCAGCACACCCAGCCACCAGCACACCCAACCACCAGCACACCCACCTACCAGCACACCCACCCACCAGCACGACCACACACCAACACACACACCCACGAGCACACCAGCCTACCAGCACACCCACCCACCAGCACACCCACCAACCAGCACACCCACCAGGACACCCACCCACCAGCACACCCACCCACCAACACACCCACCCACCAGCACACCCACCCGTCAACACACCGACCCACCAGCACACCCACCAACCAGCACACCCACCCACCAACACACCCACCCACCAGCACACCCAGCCACCAGCACAAACAGCCACCAGCACACCCAGCCACCAGCACACCCAGCCACCAGTACACCCAACCACCAGCACACCCAACAACCAGCACACCCACCCACCAGCACACCCACCCA